TATATCAAACTCTTGTGTAATGCCATTCATCCTCTATGGGAATCGGTCTTCTTATGTTTTAATTGTGTATATACTGTGTCTCTTGATGTATCTTTCTTATGTGGCTGCGTGCGTTGTATTGCTGGACGTATGTGTGTGTAATAGACGGTTAATATATACACATTATGGATACGAATCAGTGCAACAGGACCCTCAAATACAACATTCATTATATTTGTTCAGTTCATTTATTATTTTGGAAACATGAGCATGTTTCAGATCTTGAAGTTTGTAAGACAAAGACAAAATCAACTCCGTGCAGTGGGACTATTTAAGTTTTACCACTTGAAAACTCAGCACCCTTACATGTTTTGATCCTTACGGATCATCTTCAGAGGGAACATCAATACTTGTTCGGAAACCACTATCACAGTAGGTGTTCTGAGTGCTAAATTACATACACACACACACACACAATGCCTGGAATACACAATATACACAATATTCAACTTTTCACAATCGCAGCAGCCTTCCTGGTATTAAAACTTTGTTCTTTAAGTCAAAATTTTATAAACCATGCAGGTTCGTGTCACTTCTCCTATCGTCTTTCTTGGAGGGGCCTGAACTTGTGCCACCTGTCTATCTTGTGAAGGAGATTCTTGGTATCGTCCGTGTTTGTTCGTGGCTTGCTGGATGGAGTTATTTTTGTCTTTGTAATTGTTAGTGTGACAGACCAGAATGAAACAAAAAAAAAAGGTTTGTAAGAGTTCTGCAATTATATTATTGCTTTTCGTATATTATTAAATGCAATCTTAATCTTGTTAACAAAAGAGTGTATCAGATTCTCGAGTTTCATTATACTACTGAAATTAATAACAAATGGAAACCTCAGTATTATTACTTCCTATACATGATATATAACAGATTAATGTAACTGAAAATCTATGTTGTACTCATTTTCTTAGTTAATAAGTATAATTTTTGTAAGATTGTGTGCTTAGGTTAAAATGTCAGACGGCTGGCCGGAAGGCGAGGAGACAGAGCCGCGATTGACTCTTCTCATTCCTTGTCAGTCCATCGAATTGTTTTTGGAAACAACTGTTTATGCATCAGTGGAAAGACCTGGTCAGGTTTTGCTTCACGCGCCAAGGCATGTCCGGCAAGTTGCTGACCTCAGGGATTTCGAGTGCCCAGCTTTCGCGACTTGGGGAAAAATTTGAATCTTGTAATTGGGAAAAAAAAAAAAAAAGGCCGTTTCAGGCACTCTGTTCCTAGCAGTTGCCAGAAACGGACGAGTAAAGCAAAGTGTGCCTGTGGAAAACCTTGGGATGGCGCCAGTGTTTTTCATGTGCATCATGTTTAGCACGAGTGAGTACTTGCCCATGGTTGGGTCACTGATGGCTTATTAGAACTTCTGCTTTAAATTATTTTGGGGGGTTAATGTGTTTTTAGAATTTAGAGGTGTATAAGTGGTTTAATTTGATTATATATTCCATCTTTGTTGTTTGGAGAACTCGAGTTTTTGTGACCCTCCTAGTGAAGCATGTTTTCCACAGCATAGGTTAAGTGATATCCACGGACGTCCGATAGGGGGTGAGTACAGTCAATGCCCCCTATCTGGGCACAACAGCTATGTTCTGTGCAGCTTTCAGATATAAGTTGTAAGCAAAGTTATGAAGTTGAATACAAGTATCTCTGATGGAAACAGAATTTTCTTTCAAGTTTACCCACCATCAGCTTTCCTAAACACAAGTATTCTATATATGATATAGTTCAAATATCCATTGCATTTCAGTAAGGGGGTGTTGAACTGATGTAAATGAAATGTTCTTATTTTATAGGCACTGGTGAGAAACTTTCTCCCGATAAATAATATTGCAACCTGATATCTTGTATTGCAGAGGTTCTTACTCCATTGTGTGTTTTCTGTTTTTGAACTGAGTTTGATATCATTTAACTCATTCCCCTCCAGATGGTTTTGAGCGAAGTGATATTAAACTCAGTTCGGAAACAGAAAACACACAACGGCCTAAGAACCTCTGCAGTACAAGATATCAGGTTGCAACATTATTTATCTGGAGAAAGTTTCCGACCAGTGCTTGTAAAATATGAACATTTCATTTACATCGATTATTAAGTCTAGCTATACGAGTGAACCAGTGATTTTTTGGGAGGGAGCAGTAAAAAAATGCTGGTGGTATAATAGCATACTTTCTTACCGACAGGGCAGGTGGTATGATAGCATATCTTCTTACCGACCGAGCCCTCGGCACTGGCTGCAGCAATTTTTTTTTTGTCAATAGAGTCGCAGCTGGCCACCGCGGCAGCAGTGATGCTTCATTACGTCATGCTGGATGTGTTGCCCGCCAATAGCATTGAGTTACGTCCCCCTGTTGAGGAGATTGAAGAAGTGTACAATTTTGTATTAATAAATGTGACTAAATGATAAAAGTTTTGCGTAATTATTTTATAGACATTTCGGGTCATTATTAGGATATAAGTGCTGGCAAAATTTTGTGACGCATATTACACAGCGAACGGTACTAGATGTACTGTCACTGCACAATCGTTTTCGAATGAAAATATTTTTACTTCGTGGCATCAATGAGTATGAAAACATGTGTCGAAATAGCAAAACATTATCGGTAGGTGCTATCATTCGCGTATAGTATCGTATACTATACTAAACTATACTATACTACTATACTGTAATAAGTCACTATCAGAACAAATTATAAATCACTCCGTCCAATGTGACCTGTAAGTTTTTTACTACATAAAAACTTAACACCCTTACATGTTTCGGTCTCTGTGGACCATTTTCAGAGGGTAAACATCACTACAAATAGGAAACCACTATCACATAATTTGTTTACACGCAAAGTACGTACACCTATATGTTACAGCACACAGTACACAGAATAGAACATTTCACAAACACAGCAGTTTCCTGGGAATGTAAGTTTTAAAGAAATTGTATAAAATTCCTTGATGCTAATTAAAAGTTTTTTAGATTGTCAATAATTAAAATTCGTAAACCATGCAGGCTCGTGTTCGCTCTCCCATCGTCTCCCTTATATGGGGCAGATATTGTGCCACCTGGCTATCTTGATGTGGAGGTTCTGCAAATATATTATGGGTATTTACTATTTCAATGTAAATACTGCCTATGTATATATATATATATATATGTTTAAGAACCTCCACATCAAGATAGCCAGGTGGCACAATATCTGCCCCATATAAGGGAGACGATGGGAGGACGAACACGAGCCTGCATGGTTTACGAATTTTAATTATTGACAATCTAAAAAACTTTTAATTAGCATCAAGGAATTTTATACAATTTTTTTAAAACTTACATTCCCAGGAAACTGCTGTGTTTGTGAAATGTTCTATTCTGTGTACTGTGTGCTGTAACATATAAGTATATGTACTTTGCATGTAAACAAATTATGTGATAGTGGTTTCCTATTTGTAGTGATGTTTACCCTCTGAAGATGGTCCACAGAGACCGAAACATGTAAGGGTGTTAAGTTTTTATGTAGTAAAGAACTTACAGGTCACGTTGGACGGAGTGATTTATAATTTGTAATTGTTATTGTGACGGACCAGAATGAAACATATCAAACTCACTATCAGAAGTTTTTGACTGTCTGTATGGCGGTTATTGCTTCTGACGGTCCTGCCTTGCATTCTTGGTCCAGAGACCGGCTATGCAGACATTTTATTTGGATTTTCTCAGTCCTTTGAGGCATATTACTTGCCTCCTTTCCTCATGTTCCCTAATTCGTTATTTCAGTCTTCCCATTTGATGGTATATAACCCATGAAATTGTATCTCCATCACCTAAACTAAGAAGCGATCTGGAAGATTTTGAAGACAAAGGTATGAGGAGTACCTTAGTGAAAGAGAAAAGCTGAGGAATCTGGTTGTGTTTGTTTGAAAACGAATTGTGCATAACACAGATATAATAGGCAAGATAAAAATGAAAGGTGGAGGAACTGAAATATTATGTGAACTGCAACCACAGAACATATACAGTGCACACCATCTTATCAAGTTTGCTTTTCTGTCTTCATTTATATCCAGTGGTTTTGTTGTTTCATCATTGTAGATATATGAACCTTAGCAGTGTTTCGATAATTTGTTGATGCCAGTTTTATAGCCACTTTGCCTTTGTGGCAACTGCTTTTATCATTTAACAAGTTTTAAAGTTCTGAAGCCTGACAGCCATATAGAATGCTTTTTCTTATCTGGTTGCATATTCTAGTGTGACTCTGAGTTTGTATGTCTGAAATCAAGGGGAATTGGAAATGGGGGATTATGAGAGGTAGTTCTTGCCAAAATCATTGATCACCTTTGGCTATGTCATGCACCAGATATGAACATTTTTCAAAGAAAAATAAACAAGACTATAAACTTTATAAAATTAAATATAAAGCTCAATGAAACTTCATTTGCAATAATTCAAAAGGTTACATGTTACTGAACCAATCATATGCCATGCCATCATCAGACTGACCTCAATACAGTATGTAAAGAGGAAGTTTTACATATTTTTAATAATGTTACTTATGGTTTAAAGTATTTGTGTAATTTGCTTAGTGTTGTGCTAAAAGGTACCACATATGTAATGGTGTAGTTAAGATTGAGTGTATAGAATGCAGATAAAATTAGAATGATTACACAATGTAGTGACAGTTTTATGGAGTTTCTAAGTGCTGTAATAGGATAAAGTTGATTTACAATTACAATTATGTACTGAGAGTAGGACACTTATGGAGGTCTTAATGTACTGTTCAGCTTAGCTTTTAATGTATTTTTTTTTATTGCTAGTGGGGTGGGACTAAGTCCCTTGCACTGTGGCCACTTCTGGCCTATTGTACCAGCCCCAGATGATAGGTGAGGGTGATTATGGAGCAGTTGGTGGAATGAAGATTGGCAGGGGAAACCAAAGTACTCTGAGAAAACCTGCCCACCACAAATCCCACTTGACCAGACCCGGGATCAAACCCAGGCCGCCACAGTGGGAAGCCAGCAACTTACGGCTTGAGCTATGGCGCAAGCTTTTAATGTACCTTTTATTACTAAATAACACAACTGAATGCAGCCATTTAAATTTATGAAAGTATGATGGAAGCATGAGAAACCAGCAACTGCGAATGAGAGTTTCCATGAAATTAGTGATGATACTGGAGTTAGAATAGTAAACTTCGCCACATCCAAAAATCTGTCAAAAGTACGATGTCCCCACATCATAAAATTCATAAATTTATGTGGACATCTCCTGACTCACAACCAGAATGACCATATTTTGATAGATAGGAGACAGCATTCAGTTATGCTTGTCTATTCGTTCAGGGCAACAGATTGATGATTTCTTTTGTGTCATATATATATTGTGGCTGTTTTCATGTCGTGGTAGACAACACCCAATGGGACACAAAAACAGCCACAGTATGTAAGATGGAAAGAAATTCATCCTACAACCTGAGAAATACACGTAAAAAATTCAAAATAACAGCAATGACATGCCTTAATGAATACTGTTTGACCAACTACACAGTGCAGTAGACTCCTGCCTGAAGATGGCTCTATTCGGCTGAAACATATAGCTTAAACACTGAATGTACATATGTTTTAATAATTTTAATGTAATTTTAAACATTTAACAAACATAGTGAATTAAATGTGAATGAATGTTGTTAAATTAATATTGTTACATTATAGTCAGAAAACAAGACTATAAGGTATACCTCAACGCAGCAGGATGCTGAAATATAATATTATTAGTTTCTTCATTTACTCATTTGGGTGTGAGTTGCACTAAATATTGAGTAATTCCACTCTTCATCCACGTTGATTCATAACAAAATATTTTACATAAGGTTATATAAATGAACATTTTTATCTATCGGTACAGCATGAATTATTATTATATAAAATTTTGGTGAAATTAAATATGAGGGACTTTTGCAGAATATCAGTCACTTATGATTTTGATCCATATTGACTCGTTACAATGCCCACTTTTATATGACAGCATAAATGAACTTTCTATTAGCCCATAAATTGTTTTGCACATTTTATTGAAATTCAGTTTTGTGCAGTATCATGCTGTTTAAATGACCACCTCTGTGGTCTAGTGGTCAGGGTACCTGGCTACACATCCAGAGGTCCCGTGCTTCATTCCCGGTGCTACCAGATTTTCTGAGAAGTAATGGGTCTGGAATGGGGTCCACTCAGCCTCATTAGGATAATTGAGGATCTCTTTGAAGGAAATAGCGGCTCTGGTCTAGAAAACCAAGATTAGCGGGTGTGGGGATCTGTTGCACTTACCAAGTGACATGATCCATGTGCAAAAGTTGGCACTAACTTCACTGACAAGTGGTGATCGCTTGGTCAGTGTTGTTCGCTTGTGAACTACAGGCCATGGAGTTATGGTGTTTAAATATGGATTTTGCTTGTTTTATGTAGCATATTTTGTGTTTTGTTGAAATTCGGTTTGAAACCAATTGTACTCAAGACTAATATACTACAAAGAATGCTGTTTGGAAATTTGTACACCCTTTCCAGTTTTGTTTTCTTGCAACGTCCACAGGTAGGCTGTAAACTTTGCTTTAAGCCTCTCTGCAAAAGGCATTCTGCCCTGTTTTCATATTACATTCTTTGCTATGTGTCTCTGCAGTTTCTTAAATTTGTTACTGTATCAGTAGTAATTGGTTACTGGATTGTTTAATGAAGCACTTAAACTGTGTAATTTATGTAGCTTTGAATGGTGGTATCATCATCATCAGTAATCTGTCAAGACAACAGGTCCACAGTCTCTTCCAAAACAATTCCTCCACTTAATGCGATCTAGAGCTTTCTCCTTCAAATGACAGTATCCTCTTCTGTCCCCAAGGTCATCCAGCATCTTCTTACGTCTTCTTCCTCGTCTTCTTGTCACTTCTATCCGCCCCTCTATCTTTCCTTCGATAACTTCTTTTAGAAGGCAGTTTCTGCGTAAAACATGACCAATCCAATTAGCCTTCCGTTTTCTTATTTCGTGTAGGATATTCCTCTGCTCACTGACTCTAATTAACACTTCTTCATTTCTCACATAATCGGTCCAACTGATCTTCTCCATCCTTCTCCAACACCACATTTCAAAACTTTCCAGATGTTTCTGATCTACTGTCCTAAGTGTCCATGTTTCAGCCCCATACAGAGCTATGCTCCAAATGTAGCATTTCACTAGTTTCTTCCTCAAATTTAAGTCCAATTTGCTGGTAAAAAGATTCTTCTTCTTGCTAAATGCAGCTTTTGCCATGGCAATCCTGGATTTAATTTCACAAGTACACCTTCCATCATCTGTTAACAAGCTACCCAAATATTTAAAACATTTCACATTCTCCAGTTGTTTTTGGTCTATCTTTATTGTGACTGGTGTTGGTTGTCTCGAAATTTTCATTACTTTTGTTTTTTCCGCGTTCATTTCCATGCCATACCACCTTCCAATTAAAATTAGTCTATAAATCATGCCCTGTAGCACAGTTTCTTCCTTAGCCATTAACACAAGGTCATCTCCATATTGGTGGTATAACTGTTACTAATGAATTAGAAGGAATGAAAAGGAAGCAGTCATGACAAACAACAAAAATTATTCATTCAAGATAGTCCAGTCTGTGGAACAGGATACAAACTCAGGACCTTCCAAACATAAAACAGGAGCGCTTATCACTTGACTTTCCCATAATATGTTGTGCATGTCATTTTGTTAATATTTCTTGATTTCTTACAGAAGTCTTCCAGACCACCATGTGCAAGAATTATGGAACCAGATATACAAGAAGAGTGTAAGAGGTGAAATTTTAAGGGACATTTTGATGTTTTATTTCTTACATAAAGTATTTTCACCACCGCCACAGAAATCATATGATGTCCTTATTACATTTTCTACAAAAGATGTATCTAAGAAGATGAAAACTGTGATTTTCCAAATCTTAGAAGAGATTTGCCCATGTTTAGAAAGCAGTATTGTGGAAACATTATCTTTTTCTGCAAATAACAGTACAGCAGTGGAGTTGCTGAATTGTATCCTTGTAGGTGGATTTGTTCCTCTTTTGGATGAATCTGCAATGGAAAGACTATTTAGGTATGTTCTTTTTAATATCTGTGTCTTGAGTTTTGTACTAAAAGATTGTTAACTTATTAGACTTGTAAAATAATGTGTTTAATGTACCATCATGCAATAATTTTCGAACCTCTAACACCTGTATAGGGCTCTTCAAAATGACTGAGACCATTACAATTAACGATATTTAATGAACTAGAAAAATTACAACATTTAAGTAACAATATAAGTACAGAAACACATCCAATTTCCTATTATATGTGACATTTAATTTCCTGGCTGTTGGATTGCTGCCAGTGCCCTTAGTAAAGATTGGTGCTGGAAGATCAAAATGTTCAATGCCCTTTTTTTCTTTCACATATCAGAATGTCTCTCTCCAATTTTATGCCAGTTACAAACAAACTCCAAAGAGATCCCACCTTGAAAGGAGTTAACCAAGTGCTGATGCACCAGTCTCATGAATAAAGATCACATTTTTTAAAGGTAGTATTCTTCGCACACTTCCATCCAGTGAACATCAGGATGATGAAATCAGAGTAATGTTCATTGCAAGCCTCAAGGAATCAACTTCAAAAGCTGGCATCAAATATGAATAATTCCAAGAACTACCCCATGGAGAATCCTCCATAACAGACTTCACTTCAGACCTTATAAGCTCCAGATGATGTATATGATTTCAGAAGAAAAGCTGAAACCGATTGTGCTATATTTATTGCTCAAGTGAAAGAAACTTAAGATGCTTGAAATATACCCAGTCTTCAGCAGTGGAAGTATGTTCAACATTTGAAGCTGTAAACAAATTGAATGTGTTTGTCAGAAGTAAATACTGTATTACTTTGAATATGAGATGTGTATTTTTCACATTTTTTTCCCACTGGAAAATTGCTATGCTCCTTAAATTTGAGGAATTATTCACCAGTTTGCAAACTGTTCTGGAAAAAACATAACATAAGCACATTCAGAGTGAGTGATCAAGCCACACCTTCCCTCCCACCTTTAACTGTGAGTCAACCCTCCAACTTTCAGACCAGTCATTGCCTGGCATTCTTATCATTCAGGTGTGTTCAGTTTTCTATCAGATTTAACCCATTGAACAGTGTTTTACATATTGAATTACATATTGAATTCAGATGAAATTTATTTTGTGTGCTGAACAGATACTTAATTGTGCAGGTGGTAGAAAGTATGCAGTATGCAGTGTATTCCTGAATTGGTTATGAAAACATTCAGATTGGTTTTTATGTAAACTATAATTTCATATATATATATACAGTCATGGTAAAGGTAATATATGTAACAATTTAAAATATTGTTTACAATTAATAATGTGATGTGTTGCGCTATGGAGGACACCCCCTCCCTCCCCAGCGGTGATGTAACACAGGATGCCGCTGTTGCTACTAAGCAGTAAATAGCTCCCAACAGCGTTGCTTGGCTATCGGCAAACATGGCATGAGACAACAGTGGTGCCTATACGTAACTGTTTTCTGTGTTGTCCGTAACGGGGCTAAATAAGGAGCAGCGAAAACTATTGAAGAGTTAATTACGAGTTGGCCAGTCTAGTATTTGTGATACTGCAGATAGCAGTAGTTGTGAGATTGTGATTTGTGTGATTGTATGGGCGAGTTTGAGATAAAATTCACTACATCCAATATGGCGTGAAGTTATTTGTCGCATTATACACCCAACATGTGACAATAGTTTTTGGGATTTGTATCATAGCTCTAATAGCTCTTCTGCAACCTAAAGATCAATTTGCATTTCCTGAATTGCCCCAAATTATCAATCCATATAATAACAGGGATTGAAAATAAGCATAATATACGGTGTGAACAGTCTCTGACCCTGATACTAATTTGACTACTCATAAGGCAAAACATATTTTACATAATTTATTTGCTAGTTGTTGAGTATGTGCAGTCCACCTTAGATTCTTATCCAGCCAAACTCCCAAAAATTTTATATGTTCTGTATAATTAATGATTGTATCATAGAGCTTTATTGATGGGCATTCTACTTGCACTTTTTGAGGTTATGAAAGGATATTGCTATTGTTTTATCTTTATTAATAATTAATCTATTCCTTTCAAACCACTCTGTGAGTGCATTTATTGTTTTATTTATTTTCCTTTGGACATTATTAGCACTATTTCGTGCTATAAGGATACTAGTATTGTCAGCAAAAAACGTTGGTCTTCCATGTTCAATGCTGTCTTCTAGATCATTGATTTATAGCAAAAACAACACTGGTCCAAGAACAGAACCTTGTGGGACTCCATGTCCTATGTGTCTCTTTCGCGATAGATAGCTAGTGATTTCATTAGTTTCTTTACATCCATATGCAATTTCCACTTTTTGTTCCCTGTTTTCTAGATATGATTGCAACCATTTTGGTGCAACCCCTCTTATTCCCATTCTTGTCACCCTCCTTAGCAATATATCGTGATCAACTAAGTCAAATGCCTTTGACAGATCCAGAAATATCCCTATACTCATTTCCCTCTCATTCAATGATTTGTAGACCCTTTCTATAAACTCTGCAGTTGCAGTATTTGCTGATTTCCCTTTACAGAAACCATGCTGTTTATTGTTAATTATGCTGTGATTATTAAAAAATGACAAAAGTCTTTTATGTATGATCTTTTCAATTATTTTTGAAAAAACAGATATCAGTGAAACTGGTCTATAATTCCCAACTTTTGTATCACATCCTTTCTTATACAAAGGTTGATCAGGAAAACTGTGCTATTTTCAAGAAGATAATACAACGCATAAACTTCAGCAGTTTGTGTCACTGGTTGCTTAAAGCAGCTGCAGTGATTTCATTGGAGAGTTCACTGTGTTACTTTTCATGGTATGGTGGTTTAACAGCTGTGTCTTGTGAATAGCTTTAAATATAACAACATTCAAGAAATGATAGATGTATGTAGTATAACATGTTTGTTGTATTTAAAGGAATATACTGATTATGCGGACGAGAATGTTATCATGCTTTTCAAAATAATATCATCATCATCATCAGTAATCTGTCAAGACGACAGGTCCACAGTCTCTTCAAAACAATTCCTCCACTTAATGCGATCTAGAGCTTTCTCCTTCAAATGACAGTATCCTCTTCTGTCCCCAAGGTCATCCAGCATCTTCTTACGTCTTATCCTCGTCTTCTTGTCACTTCTATCTGCCCAATCTATCTTTCCTTCGATAGCTTCTTTTAGAAGGCAGTTTCTGCGTAAAACATGACCAATCCAATTAGCCTTCCGTTTTCTTATTTCATGTAGGATATTCCTCTGCTCACTGACTCTAATTAACACTTCTTCATTTCTCACATAATCGGTCCAACTGATCTTCTCCATTCTTCTCCAACACCACATTTCGAAACTTTCCAGATGTTTCTGATCTACTGCCCTAAGTGTCCATGTTTCAGCCCCATACAGAGCTATGCTCCAAATGTAGCATTTCACTAGTTTCTTCCTCAAATTTAAGTCCAATTTGCTGGTAAAAAGATTCTTCTTCTTGCTAAATGCAGCTTTTGCCATGGCAATCCTGGATTTAATTTCACAAGTACACCTTCCATCATCTGTTAACAAGCTACCCAAATATTTAAAACATTTCACATTCTCCACTTGTTTTTGGTCTATCTTTATTGTGACTGGGGTTGGTTGTCTCGAAATTTTCATTACTTTTGTTTTCTCCACATTCATTTCCATGCCATAGCACCTTCCAATTTCAATTAGTCTATCAATCATGCCCTGTAGCACAGTTTCTTCCTTAGCCATTAACACAAGGTCATCTGCATATTTCACAGTTTGAATAATTTGCCCTCCTACTTTGAAGTCACCGAGCCCATCCAGAGCTTCCTTGGTAAGGCATTCGCTGTACAAGTTGAACAGAATTGGTGATAAACAGCATCCTTGTCGAACTCCTCTTCCAATCTGCACACTTCCTGTCTCCCCCCTGTCCAGTCGTACTCTAACTTTCTGATCCATGTACAATTTGCTAATCAATCTTCTTTCATGCCAATCGATACCTGTTTCTTTCAGGATCTGCATTAATTTGGTCCAGTTTACCCGGTCAAATGCCTTCTGCCAGTCTATGAAGCAAACACACAGTTCTTCATCTATCTCCAAAGTTCGTTCCGCTATAATTCTCATCATCCCAATTGCATCCCTGGTTCCTTTTCCTCTTCTAAATCCAAACTGATCTTCTCCAAGTACATCCTCTATTTTCCTTTCAATTCTTCTTTTAAGTATCTTTGCTATTATCTTTGCTGTATGTGCAATAAGACTTATTGTGCGATGGTCGCTGCATTTTGTAGCTTTTGTCTTTTTCTTTAAGGCAATCATTGTAACTTCTGTAAAGTCCTTGGGCCACTCTCCACTTTCATATATGGTGTTCATTAGTTTTGTCAGTGTTTTCAAACCACCTTCTCCCAGTAACTTGAGCACATCTCCAGGTACATCATCATCTCCTGTAGCCTTTCCCTTCCTCATTTCCTTGATAGCTTTTTCCACCTCACTTTGTAAAATATATGGTCCTTTCTCGTCTGTATCTACTTCTTCTTCCGGTTCAACTTCTAAGGTTTCTGGCCGATTAGGTCGATCATATAGTTCTGAAATATAATTTTCCCAAATTTTCAGCACTTGCCTCTGATCTACTATTCTATTCCCCTGGGAGTCTTCGATGCCAACATTTTGAATCCCATGATTCTCTTTCCATCCTAGTTCTTTTGTCTTCATGTACATCAAATCATAACGGCCTGTTCTTTGAAATTCCATAATCTCATTACATATCTTCTCAAGATATTCCTTTTTGGCCCTGTCCGTGGCTCTTTTCAATTCATTCCTCAGTCTCCTGTATTTCCTCCTGCCTTCTTCATTGTTGACATTCTTCCATTTCCTTCGCTCCTCCATTTTACTCATCATCTCCTGTGTAACCCATGGTTTTCTTGCTATCTTCTCAACTTTACCTACCAAATCACTGATAGTATCTAACATGCATTCTTTTATATCGTTCCACTGCGCTTCAGCATTTCCGCTTTCACCTTCAATTGCACCGAGTTTCTCTTCTAGAGTCTCTTGCACGCTTTGTCTTTGAGCATATAACTTCTCCAAATCCCATCTGGGTCTGCGCTTTCGAAATCCTATAATTTTCTTCAACCTGGTTCGGAACTTGGCAACCAGCAAGTTGTGGTCAGAGTCAATGTCTGCCCCAGGAAGCGTCTTCACATCCTTCACACTGTTTCTGAATCGATGTTTCACAAGGATGTAGTCCAGCTGATGCCTCTTCCAATCCCCAGGTGCCTTCCATGTGTAAATTCTTCTCTTTGGCTTCTTGAACCAAGTGTTGGTAACAATCAATCCATTTCGTTCACAAAAGTCAATAAGCATTTGACCTCTGTGATTCCGTCTTCCTAGTCCATGTGATCCAACAATATTCTGATATGGTTCATCTCCAACAATGCTGTTCCAGTCTCCCAATATGATGCTGTTTGTGTCTCCTCTTCCATCTTCCTGAAGAATTTCTTCAATTGTGTCATACACTTTTTCCACTTCATCATCTTCATACTCTGATGTTGGCATGTACACTTGTATAATCAGTATATCTACCGGTTCCGCCTTTAACTTCAGAGCAATAATTCTGTCATTACAAGCAATCTTCTTAACAACACTCCTCACTACACTTTTATGCACCACTATTGCCACACCTCTTTCAGCCCGTTCACCTCCGGAATAATACACTGTATAATCACCGCTTCTTATTTCACCTTGTCCTTTCCACCGCACTTCGCTGACACCTAGCACAGACACTTCATTCTTCTGCATTTCCGTTTTCAAATTCTCCAATTTTCCTGCTTGATTCAAGGTCCTGACATTCCATGTTCCAATCTTGTATCCATGCTGTTTCTTCTGATCTTCGCACTTTTTCTTGTTGTAACGCCTGCATGACATTTCCTCTAGAAACACTCCCCCCCGGAGATCCGATTGGGGGAGTAGTTTACCTCCGGATTGTTTTGCCTCCAGAGGAAACATCTCGCATATATGGTATCTCTGTTTTTGGAAAGAGACTATCCAGGAAAAGTGATAATGTGGTAGTTTTTCCATTTGCTTTCCACATCGCAGTACAGCAGCCGTTCAAACCACTCTGGTCACGCCTGCTGCTATACGAACTTGAACCATCTCGAGCATCATTTGCTCTGTGCTTCAAGTCGCTACTGATGACGCTGCTTCCGGCATCAGTTTTTGGTGTCTCTCTTCGTCTGATGCCTACCCTTTGACCTGTCCAGCAAGGGAGGCCCTGCCAGTAGCTACGCTACCGCTGGTATAGCTCTCAGGGTCCTTGGCATACTCAAAAAAATAAATAAAAAATTGTCACTGGGGAAAAGGGATTTTACAGCTGTAACTGTGTCTTTTTCTAAAAGCTGAAAGTATGAAGAGTAAAGATCTTCATATGAATATTAGAGGGGATTAACAATAAAGAAATCATGTACTATCTCAAACATTTTTTCGCAGTCTTAGTTTAATACCGAATTTTAAACCGTGCTGTCATTTTGTAGTCATCCTGTCATTAGCTGCTTCTGCATTTTGTGGTCACATATAGATTAAAATCTTGAATTTTACACATTTGACAGACATGCAAATAAGCCAGTCAAAATTGCCTTTGCTGATACCAGTGTTGGTGGTACTGACAAAGCAAGAAATGTGCTTTACTCACTTCAGTAGTTTGCAGACTAACACTGTTGAATTTTAAATTCATTGCAGCCTTTTGTCAGGACAGGCCCTGACTTCTGAAGAAAATGGAAAGTTGCTGTTATATCTGTGTGAAGTTGTTGCCAGGCATCAATCAACCATGCCTCAAACCTATGTGACAAGGCTTAATCAACAGATCATTGATTGGATCCAGAACACACAGTTCTCTCTTGTGACATGTTCACAATATTTCAATCGTTTGGACACAGGACCTGTATCTGAAGTTGATGGGAGCACAGCAGGAGAGTTCTTTACTGCATTAACACTTTGTAAGTCAGTTGCTTCTTGTGGTCACTATGTTACATTTAGGAATCTCTAATTTAATGACAAATCCAAGAGGATTTATAGCAACAGTTCTGAAGCAAGGGCACATGAATCTTCATAAAAGGTCATATGAGATATACAGGGTTATTCAAAAAGAGTGAACCGATTTCATGACACATTGCTTCAGTTCTCAAGCATTGTCATGGAATGAGTCAGTGACCATTTGAAAGAGGAGTTATCTAAGTTGTGAATGGCTGTCACAGGGGCGCTGAAGTCGCATTGTTCTTCTGGCAACATTCAGTTGTTCATTTACCCTTGGAATGGCGAGTCCTCAGTAAAAGGCGTTCTGCGTTCTCGAGTTCGCAAAAACAAATTCAGTTGTCACGGAGCAGCGTGCTTTTTGAAGGCGATTCGGCATTAATCTGCCCTGTCCTAAGAACATTAACAGCGGTTTCAAGAGTTTCAAGAGAGTGGGTGTCTGTGTAAAGGAAAAAGTCCAGGACGACCACGAGTCTCAGAGGAACAAGTGGCGAGAATCCGTGCTGCATTTGAGAGGAGCCCACGGAAGTCAACAAATCAAGCTAGCCATGAGCTTGCGATCCCTCAATCCACTGTCTGACGTGTGCTAACAGTATGTGTACATTTGAAACCATATAGACTGCAGCTCGTTCAGGCACTTAACAATGACGACAGAAGGAAGGGGATGGAATTTTGTGATTCTGTGCTGGCGATGATGGAAGACGAAACCTTCATTTCGCGTTTAATTTTTAGTGATGAAGCAACTTTTCACTTGAGCGGCACAGTCAGTCGTCACCATGTGCGTATTTGGGGAACAGAGCACCCACATGAAACAGTTGAGCACGAAAGAGATTCCCCTAAGGTGAACATCTTCTGTGCTGTGTCTCAGGACAAGGTTTATGGTCCCTTTTTCTTTGAAGGAAACACCGTTACAGGACAAACCTATCTCCATATGCTCCAAAACTGGCTCTTCACTTCACTGCAAGCAGATTTGCATGACTTCATTTTTCAGCAAGATGGAGCACCACCCCATTGGCACCTGATGGTCCAAGCTTGTTTAAATGAAAAAGTGCCTCAGTGATGGATTGGTCAGAAGGGGGCCAAAGACCTTGCTCTTTATGCTTGGCCTGCGAGATCCCCAGACCTCACCGTGTGTGATTTCTTCTTGTGGGGATATGTAAAAGATTACGTTTATGTTCCACTGCTACCCACTAACCTCAATGACCTTAACCTTTTGTCCATTTCCAGGTTCAACGACATGCTGTAACTGTTTGCCACAGTTTGCCCACAGCTCCACCTGAATAATTATTCACACTTCTCTTGCCATGCTGGTGTGGTGGTCCCCAGGTTGCCGACCAAGATGATGGTTCTTCATCGAAATCAACCGCCGGTGATGTGGTTTGGCCTTCTCTAATCGAGATATCTCCAATGAAACGGCAGGGGTTCGACCCCTGGTCCGTTGAGGGCGAAGTGGACCCCTTCCAGCATGTTCCGCACAAGAGCGAGACGAAATTCTCTGTGTGACAACAGGATGTAACTGTTCAGATCCAGGAGATGGAAAAATAGTTTATTTGTCCATTTCCAGGTTCGATGACAGATGCTGTAACTGTTTGCCACAGTTTGCCCACAGCTCCACCTGAATAATTATTCACACTCCTCTTGCCACGCTGGTGTGGTGGTCCCCAGGTTGCCGACGAAGATGATGGTTCTTCATCAACTTTAATTTCTGATTTACTTTCTTCCTCGCAACTCTCAGAGTCATCGGTACAAGCAGTCTGAATCGGTGTCATTTAAAAGTTGATTCTCAATTTCAGCGTCTTCCAAATATGAGGCCATGGTGGACAGCTAAACACAACGCTAGCCTTGAACGTTCTGACACTGCTTGGCTATATTTCAAAACAGACTACTACTTGTTTGGCTAGACGAGATAAAACAGTCAGTGTTTCTGCGAACGATTAGACATCGCCCGCACTCGTTCATACCGTGAGGAACCTACGAACTGGAGCATGATGAACGAAGTGTAAACATCTAACTTTGTAGCAACACAAGCCATAGTTAGAGCATGATGTCACCAGCAGGCATTCAGACTGCAGAAATGTTTTGTGCAGGAACTGTATGCATTTTTGTGCACAGACGTTCAAAATTGAGGGGAAAAATTTTTGTTGGCATCAGTGTAAAAATTTTTAGAGATTTTAAAATCGGTAAATTACAATAACTGATTCTATATTCTTTCTAGATAAAAGCAGCGTTTATTTCGTTCACTCACAAAAATTGTAGAAATCACAGCATTTTGAGTAACATGATTACAATTTTTATTACTCTACAGTGGCGGGCATTTAAATTAACTCCGTCCCGCTACCACTACCGGAATTTAAATGGCCGTCTCTTAAAGGTTAAACATCGAATAACAACAGCGATTACTCAGTGAATCGTGATATGCTGATACGTGCCTGGGAGGAATTCTCTTATCACAGTGATGTTGCCCGTGCTGCTGGTGGTGGCCACATTGAACAGTTGTAAGACAGGAAATAAAAGTTGATTGCGAGTAGAATATTTGTGACTTGGCTGGAGTTTTATATTACTTTCCTTTAACAAACTATTGCGTAATAAAATTGGTTCATTCTTTTTGAATAACCCTGTATTTTATACACTCATCAGCCATATTTTCAAAAGACCCGAAAGAAAGCCTTGAGAGCTTCTTTTATATAATTTCTATCCATGGAATAAATAAAGTCTGTTCAAAACCAAAAAAGTCTTATCATATTTACAATAATGTTATATTTTAGCGTCCTGTTGCACTGATTTAAGTTCATGATTTGTTTATTCCATCTTGCAGTGCATACACTTATCTATCTTCTTCTCTCTCTTTCACTACATGTTTCGGCATAAGAATGCCATCTTCAGGTGCTACTCAATTCACATCAAACTAGTACATTGTATGCCTTGTCTTCACTTTAAAATAACTNTTTTACGATTGACATTTGTCAATATATATGATGGACATATATTTTAGTTATTTTAAAGTGAAGACAAGGCATACAATGTACTAGTTTGACGTGAATTGAGTAGCACCTGAAGATGGCATTCTTATGCCGAAACATGTAGTGAAAGAGAGAGAAGAAGATATTTACAATACATGATAATGTGTGAGAACCATTGTAAGGGTACTTAAATTCTCACTTTGAGACCAAGAGGTACCTTGACTGAAAAATGTTCAGAAACACAGATTTGTAGTTCTAGTACCATATTCAGAAATCCAAGACATCCAAGTGAGACTGGTTCCTAGAATTGACTGTCCTTATGAAATCACTTGAGTTTCTTCAGATGAATGTTTTCTTTGTTACTCAACAGTACCAATTCATAATACTTACAGTTAATAAAATCTTTTTGGGCTGTCAGCTATATTAGGTGGTTAAGATTACTGAAATTTCGGAGCAAGGTTTATGTTGGACAGATGGGTACTACCATTGAGACCAGGTGTCAGCCCATGAGAGACACCTCAGCCAGTGAGGAAAATCAGTGGTGGCAGAACATAGACTTCAGGAAAGCACTGGGATACATGGGCTACTTGATAAAGGAGGCTCTCAAGATAGCTTCACTCAAGAAACTTAGCTCAGACAAGGGTTTTAATCCAGTTTGGTCCTGCTACCCAGTGATTATACACCAGTCCAAAGGCAAGACCAAGCCAAGCAAAGTTATGATTTTTCTGACTAGTCCCCCCCCACCACTGGCTCACACTCAGTTTTGATCAGAGGCCATAGGTTGGTATGTAAGGGGGACAGTGTTGATCCTGTGTCACATCAGGCCCTATGGTGGGGAAAGTGATGGTCCCTGAAACATTGGTAATTTTTTAACTTTTCAACCATCTGGCACAGCTGATGGCCTAAACAGGTTTTTGTTAACTTTGGTTTCCATGAAAGCATCAGGTCTTATAATATTCAGAGTAATCATAACTTCTCATTTAATGTCTGATTTTGTATTATGTTTTTGTTACAGCTGGTAGTTTCAGTAAATCACAAATTATGAATGTTCATACTTTTTCTCTGTTAAGAAAGTGGTTGGAACAAACTATGCCTGATTCTGGCTATGAAACACAGCCTCTGTTTGGAGCAGTGCGAGAGTATTGTAATATTCTTGTGGAACAGTGCTTCAGGCCTGCACACAAGCAGCATGACATTGCTCTTCAGAAGGCTGTGAGTACAAGCTGTGATGTAGAATGTATAACACCTGGAAATCAGCGCTCTTACCTTATTCCCCTAACACATTTTCATACTGCTTTATGTTTACTTGAGTAAGTATTGTGACATGTTACCTTACGCTCATTGCCGCGACAACCACTACAATCGGAACGCACACTTCCACAGCAACAAATAGGTGGAAACTGTGGAGTTCCCACGGTGACAGATGATAGCAACAAATTGTCATTGAGTGAAAACAGGAAATATTGCACTCCCTAAGCAACGGATTGTTGAACCAGCAGGAATAATGCACTTCCATGGTAGTTATTTGTCGCACAACATACCCAGCACATAACAGTATATCACTTTGTTATTGCTTGAGGCTTTAAAATATGCCAGAAATTTGCTGCAGTTGTGGTTCCTACATTTGTGGCTATGAAGGGTATTCTCTTCTGGGATATGATGACATGTAGTCTGGTAGAAGTTCACTGATATATCAGGGTAACTTGCTGTGGCACAGTGTAAGCCAAGCAAGCAGCATGGAGAAATCAGCTCTTTTTGCTGCTGGCTTGACAGACCTTATGATCCAGAATTTGGAAGGAGTATGTTACTCTGAAACATCAGTGAACTTCTGCCAGACTACATAGCTTCACATCCCAGAAGATTCTTCAATCCAGAAAGATGTTCTAAAAGTAGTAATGGATACACAGGCTGTTTAAGAATTTGTTCTCTAAGGTGTGCATACTTAAATCCAGAGACATATTACTTCTTCAACATACCTACCTACCTAACTTCATGGAGCTGAGCCCTTCTTGAGAAGCCACTATTTGCTCAGCTACTCAAGAATTTCCCAACATTTTATGGAACCCGAAGTTTCATGTTCACAACAGCTCGCCATTGGTCCCTGTCATGAGCCAAATTAATCCACTCCATGCTATCAAATTTATTTCTTTTAGATTGGTTTTAATAATCCACCTATATCTAGGTCTTCTAGTAGTTTATTTCCTTATGATTTTCGCACGAAAAACCCTATATGCATTCCTCTTCTTCCCCATGTCCTGCCCATCTCATGCGACTGTCTTGGTCCTTTTAATTATATTTGGCAAACAGTACGAGTTACCAAGTTATGAAGCTCTTCATTATGCAGTTTTCTTCGTCTTCAATTATTTCATATGTCTTTGGTCATAGTATTCTTCTTAGCACCTTGTTCTCATATCGTCCTTACAAAAATTATTGTAAAAATTATATAGATTTGTATATTCTAATTTTTGCATTTTTAGACAACAGATGAGAAGATGAAAGGTTCTGAGCTGAATTGTAGAAAGAATTACCCAAGTTGAACTGCTCTTAATTTGCGTGGGAATCAAATTTAGATTCATCACTGTCATTACAAAATATGTGAACTTTGCGATATTTTCAGAGGATCTACACTGTCTTTTTATTATATTTTCACCCTGCATTCTGGTAATGCGATATCAACATATACATAATTTTCTGTGTTTACTTCTAAACCCACCTCCTTACCAGAATCAGTTAGAGCTCTTGTGTTTTTCTTTATGGTATCCCATGTTTGATGGATCCCTTGTCACCATGGCATAATATGGCCTCAGGTTGAGAATGCAGGAGACAGCCTCTAGATATGGAGGGTAGCTGTGAATATATTGAGTAAGCAGTCTCGGACAGGAGACAAGGGATGGTCCTCCAGCTTGGGGGTTGGTTGCGGTGCTAACAACTTCTCACTGTAAAATATGAACTTGTTACAAAATATCACCAACTTCCTCAGAACTGGACAGATTCTGTGGATAAATGGCCTAAGCTAAAGAAAATGGGCATGAGATTTGGGACATGGAATGTAAGAAGTCTGTATAAGGCAGGTTTGCTGAAGACAGTAAAGGTAAAGGTAAAGTCACTCTGCTTAACTAATTATGCACCATGCCATGAAGACATATGGGGAGGTGGATGTATAGGCCCACATTTTCTTGACCTTGGTACTAGTTGGAAGTGAGTGGTCAGCTTCATGTCCCAGCCAGTTTACCCCTGGGGAAAGCCCCCTTGGTACCCATTCAGTAGGACGTTGTGTGGGGCCCAGAGCCGGTCTGGATGACATGGAGAAGTGAAAATTCTTTTGCCCCTACTTACTTACTCATGGAGCTGAGCTCTTCTGCAGCCACTCAAGAATTTCCCAGCATTTTATGGAACTCGGAGGTTCATTACTGTGTTCACAAGAGCCTGCCACTGGCCCCTATCCTGAGCCAGATAAATCCAGTCCATACTATCCCATTCTATCTCTCTAAGATCCATTTTAATATTGTCCACCCACCTACGTCTTGGTCTTCCCAGTGGTCTCTTTCCCTCTAGCTTTCCCACCAATATTCTATATGCATTCGTCTCCCCCATTCGTGCTATATGCTCTGCCCACCTCATCCTCCTTGACTTGAGTCTAATTATACTTGGACAAGAATACAGGTTATGAAGCTCCTCATTATGCAGTTTTCTCCAACCTCCTGTCACTTCTACTCTCTTCGGTCCAGTTATTCTCCTCAACACTCTGTTCTTAAACACCCTAAGTATATGTTCCTCCCTTAATGTCAGAGACAAAGTTTCACACCCATACAGAACCACAGGCAAATTACAGTTTTGTATATTCTAATTTTTATGTTTTCGGACAGCAGATGAGAAGACAAAAAGTTCTGGACTGAATGGTAGCAAGCATTACCTGTGTTCAGTCTCCTCTTAATTTCTTCCTGAATCAGGTTTTGATTTGTTATCTTTGTTCCCAAATATCTGAACTGTGCCACATTTTCAGAACATCTGTTTCCTATTGTTATGTCTTGATTTTGCCCTGAATTTTTGTGACGAGACAGCAACATGTACTTAGTTCTCTCTGTGTTTACTTCTAGACCAACCTCTTTACTTGCGTCAATTAAAGTTTGTGTGTTTTTCTTTATGGTATATATATTATCACCCAGTAGATTCACATCATTGGCATAGACCAACAGCTGATGTGTCCCATTTAATTTCAGTCCCACCTGGTTTTCCTGGACCTTCCTAATGGCATATTCTAAAGCAAAGTTGAAAAGGATTGGCAATAAGGCATCTCCTTGTTTTAGACCATTCTGGATAGGAAATTTATCACAGAATTGTTTACTTATACAGACTTTACTATAAGTTTCACTTAAACACATTTTAATCAGCTTAACTAGTTTCATGGGTATCCCAAACTCTGTCAGACTATTGTACAATACTTCCCTCCTAATTGAATCACAGGCTTTCTTGAAATCTATGAATAGCTGATGTACTATCTCATTGTACTCCCATTTTTTCTCCAATATCTGACGAATGCGAGAGATCTGATCTGTAGTTGATCTGTTACGTCAGTACCCACACTGATGATCCCCAATAATTTCATCTATGTATGGACTTAACCGTGAGAGAACAATATTGGGGAAAATTTTGTATGAAGTTGATACCAGTGATATCCCTGATAATTACTACAGTCAGTTTTTATCACCCTTCTTGTGAACTGGTACAATAATAGATTCCTTCCACTGATCAGGCAATTTTTCCTTATGCCAAATAGATGTGGACCTTAGACTGTAATATTTCGCCTGCTGCTTGAATAAGTTCTGCCGGAATTTGATCACTACCTGGTGATTTATACAGTTTCAATTTTGCAATAGTACTTTCAACCTCAAAAGGGCTAGGATCAGGTATTAACGGCTCCACTGTATGGATTTCTGTCTGCCTAACATCACTGACCCTATGTACATTCAATAACTGAGAGAAGTAGTTGTTCCACCCATTCAAAATGTTGTGGGAATCTGCAAGCAGATCACCATTCTCATCCTTCACTAAGTTACTTCTAGGTTGGTAACCTCTCTTAAAGTCATTTACTCCTCTATACAGGTTTCTAATGTTCTTGTTCATTGCAAGCTCATCAATTTTGTCTTTCAGATATTCCCACTTTTAGTTCCTGAAATCCCTGCTGGTTTTGCGTCTTATATTGTTCAGATTATCACCATTTATTTCACTTGGTTCCTGTAACCATTGCAGTTTGGTTTATTTTCTTTGGCCTAATAATTTTGAGCATCCTTCATCGAACCATGGCTTATGCTTCTTAAGTTCATAATAAACTAGACTCTTAAGAGAGCAGTCTTCTGGGATGTGGCGCCATGTAAGTATTGTGTTAACCGACGTTTCGGAGGAACGTATCGCCTCCATCTTCAGGGTAGAAGAAAATCTGCAAGCGAAGAATGGTGTGAGCAGCTGCAAATAGATTAATGTAGAGAATAAACCCAACTGCATAGAGGAGGAAAGGAAGGGAGAAGGATGTTGGGCCAGTGGGTATAGAATATTGTGTAGGGGGGGTGGGGGGTGGAGAAAGGCAAGGTTAATGGGAGGGCATTAACCCTTAAGCTTGGGGGTCGGGCATGGACTTGCATCACCTTGTGGATTCGGCGTCATGTCCCAGGTGCTTCTTGAGGGAACAGATGAGAGGCTTCCATGACTTGATGAGACAAAACCCCACCTCTCTGTTCATATTTTCGGGATAGAGTTCAATCTCAATGGCCTCCCTCCTTCGAGACGGATGTGCCACTGATGCTCCACGGAATGGCCTGTCTGCCCAATATTGACCTTGTCGCACTCGCATGGGATACTGTATAAACCTGGTGTTTTGTCTCAGGAAGTCATGGAAGCCTCTCATCTGTTCCCTCAAGAAACCCCTGGGACATGACGCTGGATCCACAAGGCGACACAAGCCCATGTTCGACTCACATAGCAACCCCCAAGCTTAAGGGTTAATGCCCTCCCATTAACCTTGCTTTTGTCCCCCCCCCCAACACTATTCTATGCCTGCTCAAGCCTGCTACCTGCTGGCCCAACCTGCCCAGACCCTTCCCCTCTCCTCTCTACTGATTTCCCATGTAGCCCCTCTCCCTTCCCTTCCTGCTCTATGCAGCTAGGTTTATTCTCAACATTACTCTATTTGCACCTGCTCGCACCGGTTCTTCGCTTGCAGATTTTCTTCTTTTTTTCTTCTACCCTGAAGATGGAGGTGATATGTTCCTCTGAAACGTTGGTTAACACAAGACCTACATGCCGCCACATCCCAGACAACTGCTCTCTTCATAGTCACCACCGTGAAAACCTCAAATCTTACAATCTAGACTCTCCTTCTCAGACTTTTGATATCTAATAGTTTCCCAAGCTTTATTGACATCCACCTCAGTATCAAAGTTTTCCAAAGCCACGAACATATTTTATTGTGATTTTCAGATTGTTTGTTTCGTGTTGGCTACAGATGTTCCTCTCTTTTCAGATACTGTGTGAAATTGTAGATATCCTGAATCAGATGGTTCAGTTAGATCCAAATCAAGGCTCACAAATATCACAGGTTGTTAAGAGGATACAGACAAATGTGACTGAAAAATTTAAGTCTGATCATCGTGATATTTCCATTTTTGTGAGGGTTCTCCATTTCCTTCTCAATTTTGGTGAGTTATATGAAGTGTATTAATTTTAGAACAAGAAATAGTTCATCCATTAATACTCTGTTAATTTGAGAATGAAATGTTACAGGTGCTCTTACTGGGTACAATCCGCAACATTTCTGCACCCAGTTCTTGGGAGACGTAGTATATCGTAGCTATTCATCTGAGTTGGCAGCTTTTGACATTGCCAACTTCATTTTGGAAAATCAAGTGAAAATGGCAGGATTGCAGCAACAGCTTATCCAGAAGTATTTTCCAAATTTGTTGAAACTTGTCGCATGCCACCCTGCTAGTCTTGTTGAAGAATTTATGGAATTGGTCCCAACTTTTGTGGTTCCAGCCACCGCAGTGGAGGTACTGTGTTGAACCTTGTAATTAAATTCTTTTACAGTTTCAACAATTCGACTTTTTACTCATGTGTAGCACAATCAGTATAGTGATTGGCTATGGTCTGGACGACTGAGGGATCAGAGTTTGAGCTCCATTAAGGTCAAGAATTTTCTCCTCTCCATATTGTCCAGACCAGTTCTAGGCCCCACTCAGCTTCCTAGCCTATGGGTACTGAGGGCTGTTTCCCTGGGGGTAAAGCAGCCTGGGTGTTAAGCTGACCACTCACCTCCAACTAGTGCCGAGGTCTAGGAAACGTGGATCTATACATCCACTCCCCCATACATCTTCATGATGTAGTGCTTAACCCGTTGCCGTGGTTCGTCGTGTATGTTTCATCAGGGATTTAAATCGTCTGGGGGGGTTCGTCGTGTATGTTTCGTCCAGCTGCACACCTATGTTATAACGCCCATAATAATTGATGGTTTTGCTGTAGATTGTTAGATTTTTCGCTGGCCTGTTGTCACAAGAACAGAGTATACTAAGCCAACGAGTTTAGCTGAGATAAGTCATTGTTACATATGCCTGTCTTGCAGCAAAGTTCCTGTGGCTCTTGCTAGCGGTTTCACCGCTATGAATGTCGTTTATTCTTTGCTACGAAGTTATAAACAGGAGAGACGTGATGTGATGTGTTTATACTCGTAATATGATATTGCCCCGAGCTGGCCACACTGACACACTCAAATGGCATTCTTAGAAGAGGGTTGTCCAAAATTTTATTCTTGTAAAATCGATTGCTTTCGCACAGTACATAGCACCCATTTCTTAGAAAAACGCCACAATTTAAGGCAGAACACTGTGGTCACCCCCTGAGACGATACGGATGTGTGTGGGGGAGGGAAAAGTACTCATTATCGCTCCAGTTGACGCCATTTTATCGTACTGACCTTGGTGGTCGTTTCGAGG